AATTCTACTCTTCTTTGGTTCTTCATTCCCGGCGTAAACGTGTAATGGTCCCCGAATGAACAAAGACTTACTTGAATTGTTTTCTCCGTTATTTGTACGCTTCAGGTTGACAGTCTTCAGGTACGAAGAGGACACATTAAAACCAAGTGCAACACATCGGTTTCTGAGTACTTCTACTTCAGAATTAACACTTCCACTCCACTCCTCAACGAAACTGCGTCGATTAATGATAATTTTRGAGTATYCCTTCTKGGTTCGTCGTGCRCGTCCTATYACTAGATATTCTTTACCAGTTTGTAGCCAAGGACATGGACATTGGACTCCTGTGACGCGAATGAAGAGGTCCCTTGATAGTGGGAGATTACTCTTGTATATGTTTTGGACAAGTAGATGGTACACTGTTTTGTTGTTTGAAGTTGTGGAGCCATTCCTCACTTGCACATGGATTGCTGTTCATAAATAAATTATCAGACACCACTTAAGGTACAATACAGGGGAGGATCCAGGATTTTGTTCAGGTAGGGATGCTGCGCACAAAATTAACCCAGGGAGGGGTGCACCCCTTAGAATCAAAGGCAAAAAACAGTATTGGTTATTTTCGAAGTAGGGGCACAAAGTGGAACCAGGGAGGGGTGCGCACCCCCTGCACCCCTCCCCTGGATCCGCCCTTGCAATATTCTCTTATTAAGTAATACGCATTGTTAGCTATTAAAAGGTAATATTTTTACCGCTTCCGGAAACAACTAATGTGGGGTATTGAAGGACTAAAACGTACCATAGTCGCCTTTACAGAAGAGTTTTTGCTTCTTTTCAGACGTGCGACATCGTGAACAACTATCTGCAATTAAAAAATCAAAAAAAAAAAACTTTAAAAATTCAAAGTCATATTAAAGGAATAATATATATGTGGGGGAGCTTTAGCAACCTCCTTCGTTTATTTCTTTAGTTAGTTTGTTCTCAAAATTCAGGCTACTCAGAAATATAATAAATCGGAGAGGAGTTGGTTACTGGTTGTCTTCTGATCTTAAAGGTTTTCCAGGTTCTTTCCAACGTTTTCTTCTGCGAAGATTCCGAGACAATAATCTCTGATGAGAACTAAACAAATATCAGGAGGAATAAAAAAGCAGATTAATTCACTTACTTGAGTGACCTTGAACGATTCTTGTGGAAGATTCCTGCGTTGTAACAACACTTGTTCTACTGGGTTCAATGGATGTCATATTACTTGTATAAACTTTAGACATGGTAACTGCTTCAAAACGACCTCCAAAAGAACTAGAAGTCCTTGGTTTTTGAACTGAAGGGGTTTTGATTGTGTCTTGCATTGAAGGAGAAGAGGTTGACAGTTTTGGGGTTTGTATGACTGTTGTTGATAAAGATGGTTCAAGAGATGTCATCTGATAACTTCTTGTTGGTAATGGGTGATCAGAAGATGCCWTAGAATGTGTTGATGATTTTGTGGCAGCATAAACACAAGATACGCAGGACACTGGCTGTGACATTATGGATGATGATGTTGGTAATGATGATGATGATGATGAAGAAGGTGATGAAGGTGATGGTGACAGTGACGAGAACGTTGATGCTGATGCTGATGTTGGTATTGACGGTAGTGATGTTGAGGGTGATGGTTTTGAAGTTGATGATGATGCTGATGCTAATGGTGACGACGATGATAAAAATGATTGTGATGATGAAGATGATGAAAATGCTGTTGATGATGGTAAAGTTGATGGTGATAGTGACGACGATGAAGATGATGATGATGATGATGCTAAAAATCCTGTTGATGATGATGAAGTTGATAATGATAATGAAAATGCTGTTGATGACAGTGATGTGAATGGCGATTGTGTTATAGATGGTACTGCAGTTGATGCCGTTAGTGTTGTTGACGGTGTCATTCTTATGAAGGTTTCTACCGGTGTAGAGAAACYCATACCACGAGTGACCAACACATCATTTTCCCCTCTCTCTGAAAAAATTCCTCCCGTAGTTAAGGAGGACGTCGGAGAAGACATCTTAGCCGTCACAGGCAAAACCATCTTCGATATAGTTTTCGTGTTTATGTCATCCACAACTAAATGATTGCTCATAGCACTCTGAGATACAGCTCTGCTAGCTGTTGCTCTAGTATAAGAGAGCGATGCCTTTGGAGTTGCAGAGCTGATCAATGAGGGTGTCTGGCAAGGCTTTTCCTGGMAGGAAGACGTCGATGGAGTCTTCATTGTGGATTTTGCAACAGTGATGAATGCATTGCTTTGCTTCACCATGTTTACTGTACAGGAAAAAAACAAGAAGAAGAAATAAGGGTTGGAAGAAAGAAAGGAAGTATTTTWAAAAATTTTAGACCGTTCCCGAATTCGCCTTGAGTGACCAAGGAACAATAGCTTCGAGCCGAGTCGGACTTGGTCTGTTCATACATTTACTGTAATTTATCAACTCCAACCTCGGTTTGGAACCTTTATTCCATGGTCACTCAATTAGCAAGCGAATTCGTTAAAAATAATTTATTTACATGAAGTTAAAAAAGTTTAAGCATCCCAGAAAAGTCTTTTGTTATCTTTCCCAAAGGCRAAACAAAAGAGTTCCCTATATAGCATTAGGATCACCATATATTTGTGCAAACGAGACCAAAGAGGTATACAATGGACTCACCTCTCGATGAACAATTTGCAAACGACCTACAAATCTCTATATCATATCTTCGACCAGGACAACTAGTCCTAATCAGCGTCATAACTTTGGAATTACGACATGAGCGAACTCTTATTCGCAGTCCTATTCCACACTGTGAGCTACACTCAGTCCAAGGTCTCCATGGTGACCACGATGGGACTATCTTCTCGCACTGTCTGATGGTACATAGAGCAACCTGCGTCTCATTCCTAGAACAAACACTTTCGTTGCWATGTTTGCAGAGCCTTGCACGAACTTTGAAACCCAAGCCACAGGTACGAGAACAAGGTGTCCAATGACTCCAAGTCATGTACTCTGATGTGCGATTGCCCAATTTATCTGTTCYTTCAAGTGTGGGTGACACTGTGCTGTTGGTTACTCTAGGGTTAGTAGGCAAAACAGTACCATTATAGTTTATCTCCWGCTTAGTTGTCAAGCTCTCTTCGGTCGTGGGCTGCTCTTTGGAAGAATAGTTCCCAGAATCGATAAATTGTTTGTCAGCAGCAGTTTGCTCGATAATCGTAGTAGGCTGTTCTGTTGTAGTTATATCAGCCACAGTAATTTCCATGGCTGCGGTCGTTGTTGCCTTTTGCGTAGCATTATTTAGCTCTATAGTTCTGTTCGATTGCTCTGTAAAATTAAGATGAGCAACTTTTTCAAAAGCTATGTTCACTCTTCTTGTGGTAGTGGAACTGGTTGTGTTAATATGCGCTGTCATGATATAGAGTGATGTAGTATTTTGTACTTCAATTGCTGTAGGTTGTACTGTTATATTCTGGTCCTCTGTTGCCGTAGGTTGTGCTGTTGCATTCTGGTCCTCTGTTGCTGTAGGTTGTACTGTTATATTCTGGTCCTCTGTTGCTGTAGGTTGTACTGTTGCATTCTGGTCCTCTGTTGCTGTAGGTTGTACTGTTATATTCTGGTCCTCTGTTGCTGTAGGTTGTACTGTTGCATTCTGGTC